TTGTTGCTGTTATAATTGTGTTAATCAGAGCGTGTTTTTATATGCGTTTTGTGATGTCTGTTGTTTTTATTTCTTAGTTTTTTAATTTTCGTCTGCTCTAAAGAAATATTTAAAATTTATTAAGAACATTTGGTGACTAGCAGTCAGGCTGGTTGACTGACTGGCCAACTCTGCATTACGGCTTGCATTTCTTTGCCAAACCAACAAGCAAGAAATTGGCATTTATTGCATTATGTTTTATATATATAAATATACACATCGCTATAAACTTGAATTAGTTTTACAAATTTTAGCTAATTACAGTAATTTTAAAAATAAATTTTCATGATTTTTATTTCTTTTTTGTTTTCGTCTCCTCTTCAATAATTATGTGAAATTATTCGAAGAACAAACGGTATTCGTAAATTTTTTTTTCTCAATTTCATACATCGAAAAAAATTTATTTGTTACCTGTCGAGCTGTTTTTTCAATAGACGTTTTAACATATTATCGAACGAAAAAAGAGAAATTTGATAAACCTCGTTTAAAAAATATTAAAGTCAACAGAATAAAAAAAAAACAAATTTTCTAAAACTTTTTTTCTGTTTAATCTTATAACAGTCGATTGAAAAGAAATCAAATACGGTCTGAATTCATTTTTTGATATTAAAAACCGGTCGGTTTTGCGGTTTTTCCCGACTTGCACTAAACTAAACGTCACTTGCTATGCAAGCATGAACAATTTATGTATAGTATTTATTTACTCAACACGTGAAATATACGGTACAGTTGATGAAAGCTGAAACTAAAGAATTATGACACTTATATTGTGCACTTATTTTCAACGATGAAAGAGAAAATGTTTTGAGAATATCTAAATTTTATTATTTTATTATTTTTATACCCTTCACCGAAGGAAGGATCAGAGACTCCACAAGGGGTATACATTCTTGATCAGCATCAAATTCTAAATCGACTTAAGCATATCCGTCTGTCCGCAAGTTGGCATTGAAAATGAGCCAAATCGGTCGAAGGACACGTCCAGAACACCACGTAAACTGAGAACATCACTGTTTTTCAGAGGAGAAGAAAAATTGCATTTTTGCGCATTGCTCGTAAACTAAAGCAAATAAATGTACAAAAATTTAAACGCATATTCTATGGCCGATGCTGTAGCATCTGTACACAAAAATGAAAAAAATTGACCACGCCGACCTAATATTATAATGTACCAAAGTTAAATTTTTTCGATACCTTTATAACATGTAGAAACACGCTTCAAAACCCCAATAAAGCATACAAATTCTTGACCAGTTACAACCCTTGAAAGCACCTAGACATGTCCGCCTGTTCGCCTGTTCATCTGTCTATTTGCTTAACGTTTTAGTATTTTTGGAATTGACATAAACCTCTCAAAGGACACGCCTATACGACAAAAAGTTTTATTTTGAAAATAGAAAAACCAGCTGCGTCCACTCCATACTATAAAGCATGAACAATATGTTTCTTTACTTCTTTTGTCTTTTTTAGGAGAACAGTGATGATTATAAAAGACTCGGTCGTCACCGAATTTAGATTTCTTACTCGTTTAACTTCTTTTGTTATTTTTCGGGGTAAACGGTGATACGTATAAATGATTCGGTCCCGACCGAATTTAATTTTCTTTCTTGTTTAATTATAGCTAGTGACAATATTATAAACGGACTAGACCGACCGTATCTAACCTGCACTACATAACCTAAGTGGCAACATTTTTATGGAAAATGGTCCAAAACATATTCTAACGCGTGCCAAATTTCGTAAAATTAATTTTCTTGTCAAAGGTCTTACTATTCCTCACACATTTTCATCATACAATATTAAAATCTAGAGGTTGTTTCGATATAAAGGCTTACTTTTAGTAAGAGAGACTATATGGGCTGGTATTCCAAAAACTGATTTATGTGATCTACATTTGGTACAGTTACTTTCAATAGCAAATTGCTATTATGGGTTAATGTTCATCGTCAACTATTAAAAATTATACAGTTTTGTCATATAAAACATTATTTTTAGTAAGGACGTTTATATGAGAAGAGGTTCGAAAAACCGGGTCAACCAATCCAAATTTTTAAATCAACTTAACATGCCGAATGTTTCGGTCGAGGCACTTGCGATATTTGAAACTTTTTTCATATAAAAAGTTTTGCAATTTCAGGCATTATTTGAGGACTTGTCGTTAAAATTGTTTCATTCAATGCATTTACAATAGCTTTTGTCCTTGAGCAACTTTCCGCCAATTTACTTGAAATAATCTTAAAAAATGTGATCTGTAAGTCGAACGCAAAAATGAGCTGACACGCAAGCAGTCAGGTAGGCGAGTTTAAGTCGATATAATAAAATGTCCGCGCAGAATTATTATATTCTGTAACACAAATGATTAGGGTGGAAATAATATGAAAACCAGAAAATTAAATCGTAGAGCTTTAATTTTCAACAATTTTCCCGAGTGTGATCGAATTCAAACATGCGGATCTAATTGACTTTTAAAGTTATTTAACCCGCAATAAATAGAAACCATTTAAATCCAATTTCTTTTTTTAAGTTGAACAGTTAGAGGCATTCCTAGAGCTGGGATAGCCAATGAATAAACGAGTTTCGATAATCACCTTTATGACGTATGCTAATACATACGTTAATAAGTTCTGCGGATTGGAATTTACTCTTTCATAAAACGTATCGAACATTCGTGTTTGCATGATATGGGCTTCAGTTCTTTATAAGCTGTCGAAGCATAAACTGTAACACACAGCGTTTACGGTACTGGAGGGTAGTCTGCTAAAAACTGTAAAAAATGGCGAAACGGATTTTGCCTCATAACAACGAACCTAGCCATTCAGCAAGATGTGAAAATTGGAAACTTACACTGCAAGCGGATTATTGCCTTATTTCAAAACGTGTCAATGAATGTTTCATCTCGAAACCACGACGATTCCACCGCGGGATCATCTGGGAGCTGCCCGATAAAAGACTAACCGCCATAGCTAATGACATGACGTTTTGATTATTAAGCTTTGTAACAGATACATTTTAAAGTATTATTATACTTTTTATATACAGATACTTTTTATATATAGATACATTTTAAAGTATTATTATTATAATTTTAGACTAATGAAATAAATTCTTAGACTAAAAAGAAAAAAGGCATTGGGCAACACAGGCTATCGGCTCTATTTTAGAAAAGAACATTAGATATTAAGACTCATTATTTTGATAAAGTAATATATTGTATTGATATTGCGTTCTGTAGCTGATTTTAGAATGTCCATAGGATTAGTTGATCCAAATGGAATATTTCTAGGAAAAGTTAAAGCAGTCAGAAAGAATGTGCTTTATAGTAAGAATTTGTCCACAATTGCAGACATTTTAAATTAATTTGGATTTTATACAGAGAAAAACATATATAGAATTTATTGAAACATCTATTATATATATTAAGTGATTTTTTCAACGCATGTGTTCATGCGCTTCGAATCTTATGAAAATTAAATACATCTCCTGGGAGTTAATTAAATTAACAATTTAAAAAAATTAAATTTGTTCGGATATAACTACATACACCAACGAAAGACTGATAATAAGTTTTGTATCTATATAAATATAAATTGAAGCAGACTTTTTGTCTTCACATCTATTAAGTGTTCCTCTTAACGTGCACTATTTTTATATCACATCTTTCCCAATGCCCTCTGTACCTATCACCAAAAAAAAACGAATATTCATTAAATACACATTCAAATAACAACAAAAATTATTACAATTTAATAAAAATTCTGATGTGATATTCAACTGTTAACATAACTTATAAAATAAATAATATAAAACCGTAAATAAGTGTAGAACACCAAAACAAATTAAGTTAAATGTACTAATCCAAAAGTAACAAGAAAATTTTATTCGTTTGTGCCCATAACTATTGTTCAAATGTGTTCTAAAGTGGACCAAAAACAAAGGGGGAAAAGAAAACCTTCGTACTGTATAACATAATCAAGCGCACAAAGTTCAGAACACAAAAATGTTTTCAGTAGAACAGGCGTGTAGGCGTTGTAGGCATGCCCTTGACCAATTTCATTTCCAAATCCTTCCGCAAATTTGCAAGTAATATCTTCATTTTTCCGAACAGAAGTATGTTTACTGCAAAAGGTCAGACGGACATGCTTAGATGCATTCCGAATTTGCCAAAAGGTAACAATGTGTTTATTTGATAGAATTTTTTAAGCTTGCTTCTGAGCTTAATACGGAGTTTTGGCAAAAAAATGAAATTTTCATGTACTATAATATTGGATAGGCGTTTTTTTTATACCGTTACTGCAGCATCACCCATATAAACCCAATATACGTTTAAATTTCTATAACTTCGCCTGATGTAGTGTATGAATAATAAGCAAAAACAAATGTTTTTTTGGAAAACAGAGTGTAACAAATACTTTTTTTCAGTCGCCGTTTAAAATCACTGCTTTATGCGTTTTTTGTGTTTGTCGAAACCTTTTTTTCTTCTTTTTTTGGGTTATACAAAAAACATGTAGCGATCGCGAATGTGGTTTTTTAAGCGTAAATGCCACACACTGGCGAGTATTGTTTCAGAGATAGATCACGTAAAAAGACCGTAGAAGAGAAAATACAGGCTTATCGTATTCTTCTTCTTCCTTTCTAGAATTAACAGTTCACTATGTTTAGTAGCAATGGGTTCAATGCGAACACGATTATTAATTATCAAATAATCTAGGCTTCGGTTTAGATCTAACTTTTCCATCATCCCTAGCTATAGCAGCCAACTCTGCCTCCAAATCGCTATCATTCTCATCATCTTTAGTCGCAAGCTTATTATTTTTGCCGTAAGCTCTGTTATTTTTGTCGTAAGCTCTATTATTTTTGTTTACTATTTATATATGTAAACAATTCATAATAGTAATCAGCTGTAATTTGAAGAACATTTTCGGATTAAAATTATAAAATTGCATTTGTGGTTGAGAGGCGGAAAAATTGAAACGATTTTAATAGAAAAAAAACTAGTGTAAATTGCCGAGTGTAGTGTTAATGACTTCTAATTGCAACTAAATCGTCGATCAATAACACCACAGAGACGTTATAAAAAACTTAAATTTGTCGCAGAAAATAAAATGATAAAAAAATGAATTCAGACAAAATTTCTTTAATCAAAATAATTTCGTTAAACGGCTTTCGTTAAAAGTCATTTAATACTCTAAAAACAGCTTTTCTACAAAAACGTCTTGGTGTTTGTTTAAATAAACGTTTATAAAGAGGTTTAAAATTAGTAAAGTGAAAAATTTTTTTGAAATAAAATTTTCTTGAAGCAAAACACAAAAAAAAATATATTTTTTCGAACAGAAAACGTTTTCAATTGTTCCTGGTAATTTCACACTACAATTATTAATATAATATTTGTAATTAATTGGTCATCTTTAATAGGCTTGCAAAAAACTATTTGAACGACAAACTCAAATGGATAGGGACAATTTAATTGTTTGGATTATAAAAGTAGCAACGGTGTAGGAGCGTTATCTCTGTTGCCGTCAATACAAAAACTATGCCTTATCTTAAGATCTAAATTTCACGAAGATGTTATTGAAATCTTCGTATGGACCATCTGCTAACTGTAGATTGTTCCTAGCACTGCTGTAAGTTTTTCATTTGTTATCAATGCACTTTAAAAAACATTTATCTCGTATTGTTTGTAGATAATTAGCTCATCAGATACTTATCACTCATGATGAGATCGTCTACAGTGCGATCCTTAATTTATTTAGGAAACATCACGCATCTTATGCAATGTTCCCGTTTTATTTGTTTTGGCAAACATGTCGGGACTGAATTCGATAAAATTTGGAATCTTTCACATTGCGTAAGCACTATACATAGAAAACACATAAGTATTGTGCGTCCTCCTGTTTCTGGCTCACAATATTATAGCTACAAAGATAATCTGTTGCTGCGCTAAAACATGACAAGCATTTTATAATATATTCATTCCTTCAAGCACGCACTTAATAGTTCTGTCAGCGATCTGTGCGATGCGGACTACACTTTTATTGCAATCGATATTGGGGCATACAAGTCCGATCGTGACCGTGACATTAAATGCCATTCGGAATTCAGGAGGCGCTTACTCCGAAATAGAGTAGACGAACAAACGTCTCAAGTCATCACAGACATTAATACCGAACTTGTGCGGGGCGACGCGGTATTTCCTCTACGGGACAACCTAATGAGGCCTTACCCTGGAATTCTATTAGCACAACACAAGGAAACTTCCTATAAAAGGCTATCCCGAAAAAAAAGGACAATCGAAAATGTATTCGATGCATTGACCTCTCGTCAAAGGCTTCTGTTAAGCCCTATCCACATGAATTTCGAAAACGCCCGCTGCAGCAATGGTAAGAGGCCGTTGCCGTCTTACATAATTTTATGAAAATGCATCATGGTTCACAAAACAACAAGATTATC